GCTAGAAAGTGGTATATGGTCGATAATGCACATTCTTGATGACAAAGGGAATTTTTTACCTTTTGAAACTCTTTGCGCTAAATTCGAAATAAATAACAGAAAAAAATATAATATATTAATCAAAGCCCTTCCTCAGCCTCTGATCATGGTGTCATGCAACCTACTCCTAAACCATGTCCAGGTAAAACTTCCCTCTCTGTTACTCAACAGTCAGTCTGTTATTGATAAAAAGCCGACCAACAATGTCATAGGTAGTTTGTTTGTAAAGGAATTTCATCCCGATACATCCCACAGAAACCTAATCTCCAAGCATTTTCCAAAAGAGAAAGTGGGAAAACTGCGGAATAAATATCTACAGTTTCCTGTTGCTCCAAAGGTTAAAGAAGTCCATTTCAAAATAATCACTGACATTTATCCTTTCAAGGAATTTCTGAGGCTCCGTTTTGGTTTTTGAAGAAAATGATTGCACCTTCTGTGAATGTGAAACAGAGACTGTTGGTCACCTCTTTTACGATTGTATGTACGTGAAAGTTTTCTGGGAAGATTTCTGCTTCTGGTGTTCATCTAAATTTGATTCTCCTTCTCATCTGGACAAAAGAGAATGTTTTGTTTGGACTAGAAATGACAGATAACCTGCATGTCATGATGGGGAAATTTTACATTCACAAAAACAAATACATGAGGACCAAGCCAAACTTCAACATTTTTCTTAAAGAACTTTGTTTGTATTTTCAGTCACTTAAATTTATGAAGAAGAAAAATGGTATAAAATTATACACTTTTGTAAATGACCATAAACTCAATGTAAACCCCTAGCTATGATTATTTTATGTTTATTTTATTTATTTGTTTATTTATTTATATGTTTGTTACCCTTGTTTTATTTTTATTTATTTTTTACATTCTATGTCTCATTTTTTTAAAAGTCATAATGTCACCAACTGCTGTTTATCTGTTTGATGTTTGAATTACTCTGTATTGTTACATGGAATTGCCAATAAAAAAAAAAAAAAAAAAAAAAAAAAAGAAGATAGACGCGAGCTGCTCTCGCGAGTCCTTCCGTATAGCAATGACCTCGTATGTGATTGGAGGAGCCTGGCGAGCCTTTGACTGCTCGTCCAATCACGTGTGAGCTTATGGGCAAGCAGACATGTTTGTTAGAAGAACTTTATCTCCAGTTCCTTTGTTTGGATTTTGCTGGTACGTGATCAATGGCTGGACGACGTCTCGCGTTCAACTCGCCTTCAACTCCTCTTGGACGCGATCCACAACTTTCAGCAGTCGAACAACTCTGCGGGAAAGACGAACTCAAAGAAGAGAAGCTGGCGGTAAATATATGTTCGATTACTGCTAAGCTAAGCTAAAAGCAGCATAGCCTAAAGCTACGGCTAATATTAGCC